TAGGTCAGGATGGTCAGGAGAACAGCTACTGTAACATAACATAAATCACAAAGATGAGTCAAATGTGGAATTTACAGTTTTGTAACTTAAAAGCTAAAAAAAACTGGCAAAACCAATTTGAATGATATGAAAAATTAGCTCACTATATCCCAAATGTTTTATTAGTTCTAATATGGACTTTATATAAAAGTTAGTATTTAATCTATGTTTTTATTACTAAGTCTGTGCATTTCTCTTTTTTTAAATTTTTAATGACAGAAACAAAAATATACCTGAAAGCAAAGCTTCTGGAAAAGCCATTTGTTCTTCTTTGTCTTGTATGGCTCCTCAAACTTGACCTGGGGCTCCTGCCTGGCCTTGCATTTTAAAGCTGAGTCTCTAAACATATCCTTGTTGACAACAGTTTTGTTCAAGGGGATATCCACAGAGTACCTTGTGGGCATGAAGTGGTTGTAGCTATAAACTTTCACAAAGGACTTGATCTTGGATCTCTTGGCAATTTGCTTCTTATTCATGGAAGCTGTCACTTTTAGGGAAAGCAGTCAATTCCAGCCACCAGGTTATGGCTGTAAGGGTGGTCTGAGGTGCCATCACCAATGTTGATGACGGCTTTGCATCCGGAGTAGCATCCAGCCAGGACCAGCACCACTTTCCTGGGTTTCATGAACTTGCCCATTTCAACATTGAGCAGCTGGCACCCAGCAGAAAGGAAAAAAGGACACTAGTCTTTGCATTTTTAAAGTGCATAAGAGTACATTGGATATAAATAAAATTAGCTACTGAGTTGGGGGTGTAGTTCATTTGGTAGATAGGTTGTCTACAGTATACAAAACCCTGCGATCAGTCACCAGCATTACATAACCAGGCATGGTAGTGATTACCTGTAACTCCAGCACTTGGGAAGCTGAGGCAGGAAGGAAAATATGAAGCTGGAAGTCTTTCTTGTCCACATAGGGAGGTTGGGATGAGCCTGGGCCACATGAGTTTTATTTGATTGGGTCTCTGAGGGTTTGAAATCTTTTTTTATGTTTAATTTTAAATGATGTGTGCATGCATTAGTGCCCTTTGCACTAGTTGAATCCCCAGGAGCTGGAGCCACAGGGTTTATGAGCCACCTGATATAGGTCCCGGAAACTCATCTCCAGTCCTTTGCAAGAGCAGCAGGTGCTATTCCCTCTGAGCCATGTCTTGGCCTTGAGGTTTCTCATCTTCATTCTGAAGGTGAGAACTGGCAGCAATTATAGTAATTCTCATCCAAAATTAAATTCAGAAGTCAATCTTGTCTTCAAACCAAATGTTCTGTCTTGTATTCCTTTCTAAACAAGCAATGCAAAGCTGGGAGGACAGTGTAGTCTTTTAATACTAGCATTTAGGGGTGGAGACACAAGGACTGGGACTCAAGGACAGCCTCAGACACCTCAGGAGTGTAGGGCCAGCCCTGGTGACTTGAGACCTCATTACAAAAATATCCAAGCAAAAATACAAAAGCATATCAGTGCTGTCACAAATAGGTCCCAAGACTCATTACACTAGTGCAAAAAGGAAATTTTCCATCAGAATTCACTTACAACATTACATTTCTGCCAAATTTCCTGTTCAGTTAGAATCCTATGGAATTAGCTTTGATTCTAAAAATGTAGTTGGAGGAAGCATTTTCCAGCTTTGATATACCATGAATGGAAATGTCAAATTTCCTCTAGTTTCTCTATCAGACAATAATATTGTTTCTATTCTTGAATTATTTGGTGCTTTACTGACTCAAATAGGTAAGAAAGGAGGTAACGAGTTTATTAACTCCAGAACCTTAAAAGGCATGTCTACACCAAAACATCCTAGCACTTGGGAAGTGGGGGCAGGAGAATCAGGAGTTTAAGGTCATCCTCAGTCAGAGTTTGAGGTTAATTTAGGATATATGAGACCCTGTGTGCCCACCTTCCCAACTGTTTACATCAAAACACAACTGGACCCAATTAGCTGACAGGGAAAGAGGATCCCAGTTCAAGATTTCTCCACAGGAGGCAGGCACAGAGGTCCGAGGTTGGACAGAGGCACGCTAGTCCCATAGAGACTGCATCTGAAGTCTCAAAGAAATGTCAAAAGCAGCAGATAGTCCTGGCTATCGAAGCTGTCTCTAAGTAGGCCTGGAACAACCTGGAGCCTGAAGATGCACTCACGAGCCACTCTTCTTTCTACAGGACCTAACGGTATCTTCCTCTCTCCCTCCTTCCGTTACATTGCACATTTAAGATTAGAATAGCAGGTGGTGGCCAGAAGGTGAAATATGGTCTGTGAGTGCCAGCTTTTAACATGCTGAACCAGCATTGCATTCCACGCCAGTCTGGGTTATACAGACGAGATACTGTCCAAAAAGAACAGAGCTGGGCTCAGGTCACTTATAGAGCGCTTGCCTGACGTACACGAAACCCGGGCTTTATCCTCACCAACGCACAAACCTCTGTTGACAGCAGCCTGGGGCCGCACTGCGACCGGCTCAGCGTACTCAGCACAGTATAGAGTGCGCGCGTATGAGCCAGGGTGAGGTAGAGTGGGGTAAAGTGGGGTAGAGGGGGTGTGGCCTGGACCTTGGCTCCCGTCCCGATCCTCAGACATTTCCGCCAGACTCTGAGCTTGCCTACACAAGCGTCTGCGCGTGCGCATCCCACAATTAAGCGCGCGGCTGCCAGCTGCTTCCGGTGGGCCTTGGCAGCCCTCGGTTCCTTCACACACCCTCCCAGGAGCCTCAGCTGGGGTTCCGCCTCCGCGGGAAGCAGGCTAGAAGAAGCCGGAGAGGACGGCTGGACGCGACAGCTAGGGCGGGAGAGGATGTGGTGTCCACACCCTACGTATGCGCGACGTGATCACATGACAAGGGGTGTTGCCCGCTTGGGCGGGAGCAAAGTGAAGCCTAGAGTCGAGGTTGCTACGGCGGGACCTGCGGTGGCAACGGTAGTATGGCCGCGCTTTACGGTGGCGTGGAAGGGTGAGCGCTGGACCGGCCGGAGGCTGTCCGTCCGGGAGCGGCGGGTCAGGGGGCGGCAGTCCACACCAAGCTCGGTGCCTTTGTGCTCTATGGCGCGACCACGCCCCTCCCGGCCACCACCTTTCCGCCACAGGGTTCTTGTGTCAGCCTGGAGAGTTGTGCAGAGCTGGGGGTCAGGTGGGAAGTTGCCGGTCGCGGGTGGACGTGGGAAAGAGGCGGAAGCCGAGACTGAGATTTATGCCCAAGGGAACCCGGGAGTTAAGCAGCTGTCACCAGAGTACTGTCTAGTCTTGGTGCTCGGGACCCTCCACTACTGTCGGCCCCCAAGGTCCTATATTCTCCTTCTCAGAAGCTGGTCTGTTTGACTTTGGGAAGTAGCGCTACTAAGCATGGCTTTGGGTGAGACGTCTGCCCTCTCTGGGCTTCAGTTGCCACATATGTAAAGCAAGGACAAGAGTGAGCAAGATGGTGGTTTATCCTGTCCCCTGCGCATGGCAAGCATTTTGTGGAACTGGGTGTGTCATATCAGGACCTGATAGGAAGATTTGGAATCGTAGCCGCTCGATGCTGATTTACCCGTTAGTCTCTTCTCTTGAATTGCTAAGGTGGATGACCTCTGGCTTTATTTGTGACATCTTGGAAGGAAAAACCCTCAGCATAGTATAGGAGTTTTCACTTAGCTTTGTTATATTCATATGGAAGGTAGAACTTCTTTTTCCCAATTTGTCAAGAAGTTAATTTGGATTTAGTCTGCTGTCCCATGCATTCATACCCTCCTCGGAACTTGTTGTACTCTTTGAGTTGGATCAAGTCCTTGTTGTCTATTACATTACAAGAAGTATTGATCAATAGGATCAATAATTCCACCACCTATCACCCTTCTAAACCACCACTTACCCCAGGAATTTAACTCAGAAGGGTTTAGTTGCTGAAAGCAGTATGAGTTTCTCCCTGTCTGGTGATAATTTCTCACAGGTGTGTTGAAGACCCTGGTGTCAGATCTCAAAGTAGCCCTTAGCTGTTGTGATAGGTCTGCTTATTCCCTCCGATGTATTTACCGTGAGTCGTTTCGGCAATGCTCTGGATAGGTTAGGAGGATAGATAATCACTCCGAAGCCAGTGGAGCTCATAACGAGAAGCTAAACAATTTAATACACTCTCGATTCACAGCAGTCTTTGCTAGCTAGGGGATGACTAATGTGTGGAGAAGCCTACATGAGGCAAACTGTAAGGTCCAGTGATGAGTAAGTGGGATCTTGCAGAGGAAGTAGGACCTACCAAGCAAAATGAGCAAAGCCTCATGTCCCTTTCCAGAGTGTAGCAGGCACTAAACAGGTGGCTTTGGGAGTAGAGGTTGGGTTTGCTGAAGCTGTCTTTGCCCTAGACTTTTGTAAGAGACTACTATGCAAGCTTGGCTCTCTCTGTCTGGAGTTCTATCAGGACTGAGTGCCCTCTTGTGTTTTGTAGGGGAGGCACACGGTCCAAAGTCCTTTTACTTTCTGAGGATGGGCAGATCCTGGCAGAAGCAGATGGACTAAGCACAAACCACTGGGTAAAAAAAGCTATCCTGAGGGGACCAAAGAACTTGGCCTTCATGTAATGTTCATCTCATAGAGAGGTGGTGGCTGGGCCTCTTAGTAGCTGGTAGGGGCAGAACAGATCCTGCAAGCCTTTCTAACTCCTCCTTCCCTCTTGGGGTCAGCTGATCGGCACAGACCAGTGTGTGGAGAGGATCAATGAGATGGTGGGCAGAGCCAAACGGAAGGCTGGAATGGATCCCCTCGTACCCCTTCGAAGCCTGGTGAGTCACCTGGAGCCTGGACCATCAGCACTGCTGGGACAGGTGACCAGTAGGACTAGGTGAGCTTCATGACTAGAGATAAGGGCTCTAGGGCCAGAGCCTTTGCTCTTGTCCATTCTTGTGGTTTCAGTAATAATCTATAAACTGAGGATGGGTCTCCAGAGACCCATTGGCACCCTGATTTCAATCTCACCTTTGCCACTCAACTTAGTGGCCCTTAATTCAGTTGCCTTCTCTAAGCCTCAGTTTCCTCATTTTGCAAATACAGATACTAAGAATTGTTGGGAAAATGAAATAATGTGATTCAAACACCCTCTAGCCTGAAGGGCTCTTTAAATGTTAGCTCTTTTCCCTCTCAGGTTGTTGTGGCTCTGGCTACTTACTATATATGCAAGAGAGCTATACAGGGATAGCAGACCCTATGTATGCCAAGCCAAGCTGTTTGCTTCACATCCCTCAGCTTGCTCTTTTGTCTGTATCTTCTTTCCTCCACCCTTTCCTAGGCCAGGCTGTTCCTGCAGGCATGGCCTTCTAAGGGCTTATTGTGGGTGAAGGGGCTAGATCGGGTGAGCTGAGTATGACCAGATAGGTGTCAGGAAGAGAGGTGTTAAGGAAGAAGCTGGCCTGGGTCTCCTCCCTCCTTTCCTTGCTCAGCTTCTTTCTCTCCCTTGTGGCCTAGGGCCTGTCCCTGAGTGGTGGGGAGCAGGAGGATGCAGTGAGGCTCCTAATTGAGGAGTTGAGGCACCGATTTCCCTACCTGAGTGAAAGTTACCTAATCACCACCGATGCAGCAGGTTCCATGGCCACAGCTACACCGGATGGTGAGGATGTGAAGGGAGGAGTGAGGTTGAGAATGAGCTCTCTTATGGGAAAAGCCCCTTGCCTATGACTGGCAAAACTTATCTTACTAACATCTGGAAGGCAGCAGTTGTTATTTTCTCCCAGCTGCCCTTTCCTGGGCATAATAATACTTTTGCTAGAGCAGGGACAAGGGGACAGAAGAGGATGGAGGGCAGGAAAAGTGTCTGTGTGAATCAAGGGGTGGGATCTCTGGGGGCAGAAGCTGGGGTTACTGAGTAGAGAGTATGGGACTCTGTGATATCCTAGAGTGCTGGTATAGAACTGAGTCTCACCAGGCATGCCAGTGCACACATTTAATCTAATGCTAAGGAGACAGGTAGGCAGATTACTGCAAGTTCAAGGCCAGCCTGTTCTACATAAATAAATCCTAGGCCAGCCAGGGCTAACTTATGAGATCTCAAAAATGAAACTGGCCTATGCTCTGGTTTGACAGCTCTCCCATCTTTGAAAAGTTGTGGAAGTGCATTATTTCCCTCATGTAGGAGTAGGGGGTCGATATCTGTACGATTTATGGTGCTAATGGTCACTATAAGAAGAAGGTCTGCCATAATCTCTGGCATTAGGTACTCAGTAAAGCCAAGATCATTTGAAGTCTGGCTGGCTGGGAGCCATGTTCTTCCTCTATCTCCTGGGCAGGAAGCAAGTGGGCTATTTGTTCTAGGAGGTTGGGTGGTGATTCCTCCACTGTGGGGCTGGTTTCTGTCCTGTTTTTCGCAGTGGGAAGCTGCTGCTCTATTCGGGCCCTTGGCCACACTGAGCCCCCGTGCCCTCTCCCCAGGTGGGATTGTGCTCATCTCTGGAACAGGTTCCAACTGTAGGCTTATCAACCCTGATGGCTCCGAGAGTGGCTGTGGTGGCTGGGGCCACATGATGGGAGACGAGGGCTCAGGTGAGTACACATAGGACCTGCTCTCTGCCCTAAACCTAAACAGGTATCCCTAAATAGCTCCTAAACCTGTTGCAGAGCACAGGATACTATTTTGAGAATCACAGAGTTACCATCTTGCTTCTTAGTAGCCTTTCATGCCTAGGGTATACATCACAGCACGGTGGTGTAGCCTACCTCTGTTGACTTTTGGAGACCCAAGGGAAAGATTGTAACTGAAGGTTAAGGCCATAGCTGTCCAAAAACTCCCTGATAATGGGAAAGGGGTCTGGGATCTAGAAACTCATTGACACTACTTTTGGGGCAGCATGTATACATTTCTTTGGTGGCTTTTGGGTCCGGCTCATGCTGTGACTGCAGCTATGTGTGACAGCTTACCACCCTTGTCTTTGAATGGTAGCTGGCATGACAAGTTCACTTACTCAGGCTTCCTACAGCTTTCCCTTATCTGGGTCTGTCAAACAGTTGGTCAAAAGCCTCCTTCCCTACTGGGAACCCCTGACCGATCAGTGACTTCTAGCTGGTCTTGAGCTGAGAGCCTTTCTTGGTGAGGAGACTGCCTCTGCGATTGGCTGTCTTCTTCGCCTTCTGCTCCTGGCAGCCTACTGGATTGCACATCAAGCTGTGAAAATTGTGTTTGACTCCATCGACAACCTGGAGGCAGCTCCTCATGATATTGGCCATGTCAAGCAGGCCATGTTCAACTATTTCCAGGTACTTCCTACCATACATTCGTGTACACCAGCAGGGTGAAGTGGTAGATAAGGACAGGATTCAGTGTGGGCAGTGTGTTCAGACCAGTGTGACTGCCACTTCATCTTAGGAATTTTAGTCATTTTTGCAAACATTTAAGCAAAGTCAAATGAGAAAAGAATATTAAAACACAGTAATGTTTCTGTAGATGCTGACAGTTATCTCATTCTCACTAAAATGTACTCAAGAGAATCTCTGTGTTCTTGGGGACTCAGAAGTGTCCCGTGTTAGGCTGGTGTAGAAGGTGACAGGTTGGGAGATGAATCAGTCTCCTGGTTGCATCACTGTGGTCTGCTACTTTGAGCAGGGGCTGTATGAGAGTGCTGCTCTTTAACTGAAGCAGTCTTTTCAGGGAACTTCAACTTGAGGAAAACTACTCAACCGAGAAATCTCAAATTTCCATAAATTTTAAAGCATACAGAAAAAAAAAAAGCCTGGCAGTGGTAGCACATACCTTTAATTGCAGCACTTGGAAGGTAGAGGCAGGCAAATCTCTCTGAGTTCTATGACAGCCTGGTCTAGAGTTAGCTCCAGGACAGCTGAGGCTACACAGAGAAACCCTGTCTCAAAAAGAAAATAACCCCCAATTATTTTGGTTATTCCAGCAGGCATACTAGGAAGGTCACTCCGGGTGACAGTCTAGAGGTTTTCTATTGACTGTTTGTGTCCCGTTTCTCAGGTGCCAGATCGGCTAGGAATCCTCACCCACTTGTATAGGGACTTTGATAAATCCAAGTTTGCTGGATTTTGCCAGAAAATTGCAGAAGGTACTGTAGGTGCTGGCTTGTATGTAACTCGGTTCCCTAAAAGCATGTCTAATGGGAGGGTGGACCATAGTTAAGGCTGGCTTGTGTGCTGGTGCCTGTCTCAACAAGTAACCTGGAGTCTGTGGCTCAATTTGGTGTGATAGATAGGGCCAGGACTTAGACAGCACTGTATTGCCTGTGTTTCTCTCCCTGGTGGCCATGTGGCTGGTGCATTCCGAATACCTGGGTTTGAGAACCTATTGTCCTTTGGATAAATTCATAGAAGCAGGAGTTAGAAAGCTCAGGCGGCTCGTTTTGGCTTTGGGAGGAGCCTTCATGTTGGCATCTTGTGAGGCTTGCTCCTTTTAAACTTGGATTCCTTAGTCCAGGGTAGCCTACATGTTTTATCTCTGGACTGAAGTTCAAAACACCAGGCTGGGTGAGGCTGGGCAGCAGCACACTGCTGAGAGTGCTGGCCATCAAGAGGAGAATCAGCAGTCTTCTCAGATAGCGTCTCTTGTCCACAGGGCTGATAGACTCTTGGGGACAAACACAGTAATATGATTTAATATATTGTTCGCTGGACTCTAGTCCTACTGCTGGCACTGGCACTGGAAGGGGAGGTAGCTGGATCGGTGAGAAGAGGCTTGCTCACCAATGTGGGTATCCATCCTAACATTAACTTGGCCTGTGCTTGCTGCCTTACCTCAGGGAGAGAGTGGCTATAGTAGGCTACTTCCTGTATTCTCCAGCCCCTTTCTCCTCCCTGCCCCAGGTGCACAGCAGGGAGACCCTCTTTCCAAGTATATCTTCAGAAAGGCTGGGGAAATGCTGGGCCGACACGTTGTGGCAGTATTGCCAGAGATTGACCCGGTGAGTTGACGGACACAAAGGCAGGGTGTGTGTCCTGCAACTGAATGAGGTCTGCGCCTAGGGTGGTGAGACTGTCCCATCCAATTCCATGTGCTTTGGTACTTCTGTGTATGTAGAGACTGCCTGCAGATGGTGCCGGCTTCTAGCTTCTCCATCCTTCTATTTGACCATCTCTTTCTTCTCTGCTTTGCCTTTTATAACTCCTGTTTTCTTCCTTGCCTTTTTTTTTTTTTCCTTGAGTCCACCTTCTGTTTGACACTGGTGAGGAGTAGGGTTAAGGTTAGCCTGCAGCATCCCATTTTCTGCTGTTCTCCCAGGTTTTGTTCCAAGGGGAGCTTGGCCTCCCAATTCTGTGTGTGGGGTCAGTGTGGAAGAGCTGGGAGCTACTGAAGGAAGGTAAGTTTGGGTGGGTGTGGGTGGAGACAAAGGATGCAACTGGAAAGGAGGGCGAAGTGGGCCTTTTTATCTAAGCCCTGTGACCTCTTCCTGGGGTGTGTGCTTGCTAACCCTGTGCTCTACTGCAGAGCTTTTTTTTATGAGCCCCTGAAAAGATGTTCTATTCCAAATGATATATTAATCACTTTTTTGTTTTGTTTTGTTTTGTTTTGTTTGAGACAGGGTTTCTCTGTGTAGCCCTGGCTGTCCTGGAACTCACTCTGTAGACCAGGCTAGCCTCGAACTCTTGAACTCAGAAATCCGCCTGCCTCTGCCTCCCAAGTGCTGGGATTAAAGGCGTGCGCCACCACCGCCTGGCTATTAATCACTTTTTAAGATTTACCTTTATGTTACTGTTTTTGTCAGCAATTATGTCTGTCCTGTGCTTATGGACATGCAGTGCCCAAGGAGGCAGAAAAGGGTGTTAGATCCTCTGGAACTTGAGTTATAGATGATTGTGAGCCACCATGTGGGTGCTGGGTACTGAACCCATGTTCTCTGAAGAAAGCAAATGCCCTTAACCATGGAGCCATCTCTTCATCCCTTGGAGTGTAGACCAGTGTAATAACCTATGGTTGCACTCTTAGTCACCATTCTGGTCAGAAGGAATTTAGTTTGACAGCCTCAGTTCAGGGTTTCCATTAGACTATCTGAAACAGCTCAAGGGTCTCCACTAGATTTCTGCACCATGAAGTTGTGGGTATTGCATGCTCCAGAGTTGAGGAATGCAGGTTTCTTTGGGCTACAGGTTCTAGGACCCAGAGCATCCTGGTGCTTCTGTGCTGGATGGTTGACATATGGCTTGGCATCTGCACTGAAGTCCCATATGCTGGTCTTCTCTCTGCATTCTTCCCTCCAGGCTTTCTCTTGGCACTGACACAGGGCCGAGAGCAGCAGGCACAGAACTCTTTCTCCAGCTTCACCCTGATGAAGTTGCGGCATTCTTCTGCATTGGGGGGTGCCAGCCTGGGGGCCAGGCATGTTGGACACCACCTTCCCATGGACTACAATACCAACGCCATTGCCTTCTATTCCTATACCTTCTAGGGGCTGTCTCCCTTCCCATCCAATCAACACCGAGTGTTGGGATATTTTTCTTTTTTAAAAACACATACGAAAGAAAATAAATGCACTTTACTCCCTCCCCAGCAGGGTGTTATCTTCAACAGATTGCTGTGCATGTCCTCAGCACCTCCAGCAGGTTGACCTAGCAAGCTCTTGGTTTAAAGACCCCACTCCAGGTGCTCGCATGCACCTACCAGGCTCTTAGGCACATAATAGCCAAGCCCTTCCCATTTCCACACTAAATGCTTTGGCTGCCAGCAGCTGAGACTGAAGTTTCCTCTTGGCAGTTATGATTCCTCATAATAGAACTACGTGTGTGTATGCCCACCTCCTAGGGAATGACCCAAGATCTATCATACCATCTCCTAAGGTTCCCAGTAGGATTTTGGAGACAGTACAATCCTAGTCTCAATTTTGACTTAATTCTAGTTGGTAGCTGTAGGTACATAGGGCATTTTTTTTTTCATGTGTGCATGAATCCCTGAGGGCCAAGTAGACACTGCTTAACTCGGTGGCCTGCCTGCTTCTGACTGCTGCTCACCTGGCTCTGGTTATAGTGGAGCACTTCTCTCTCAGACCTTTATATCCGGGCAGCTACTGCTGCCAGCCCTGGTCGGGAGGGTCTTTCCTCTGGAACTAATCTTTCCAGGAAATACTCTTGCCCAGAGGCAGTTTCTTCATCATTCCAAGATCCAGCTGGCAGCTGATTAATCAGGTATGGATGTACAACAATGCTAGGTTTTAACCTCTGGGTTTGTTTTCCCTCTCTCCAACTCCTGCACAGCACACGTGTCCAAAAGGTGTAGCCAGGAAGGTGCCACATCAGCAAGTGTGAGTTTTAAAACAGCTGCCATTTAATTTATAGAGCAAAAAATTTTAAGTAACTTTTTTCAAGTTTTGGTGGTTTTAGGGAAACATTTTTTTAGTTCTTTTTTTAAAAAAAAAAATTTATGTTTGGGTGTTTTGCCTCCAAGTGTACTGTGTGTGTACTGAGGAACCAGAAAAAGAAAAAAAAATAAGATCCTCTGTCTAGGACTGGAGTTTCAGATGGTTGTAGCCTCAATGGAGCCTAGAACCTATTAAGAGCAGCCAGTGCTCTTAATTACTGAGCCATCTCTCCAGCCTTTTAAAAAAGGTTTTAAAAGCGCTGTTCCTGGAGCAACAAGCTTTTAAACACTTGCAACAGGAACCAAAGTCCAGAGTCTGGACCTAGGTTTACTGGAGGTGCCAGGCAGCTGGGGCATCATCAGGCTCTACTGGCTCTGCCATCTCCATTTTGGCCCTCCTTCTTCCTGTGTGTCCCTCCACCACCAGCCAGCCCTCTTTCCCTCATGTGTCCAACAGAGTCTGTACAACTCTTAAGTACCCATGGACAAGACTAGAAAGCTCAGCACTGATTCTGGGTGAAACAGCAGTGCCGTTTGATATCCTATCCGGTTGTGCTCATTATTAAGTAGGCCTCGGGCACTTCAGAAATCCTGGCCTGCAGCAGACAGCACAAAAGTTCATGAGAAGTCAAGGATCATAGGAATCTGCGCTGGCTGAGGTTCCTAAGAGGCACAGCATCTCCTAAGTTCTGTGTGTAGAAGACTAGCCAAAGTGAAGGTGGAGAGCCACGATTAAGGGGGTCTGACAAAATGTAATATACTCAACAACAGGAAACTGTTCAACAGTGAAAGAACACCAAAATAAATAAATAAGTAAATAAATAAATAAATAGGAAAAAAAAAACCAGGCAAATTAAGAGACCACCAAGTGTTTAACTCCACTGACATGAAACATCCAGAAAAGATTCAGTAGCCAAACCAGAGCCCAGGGCCCTGCATGTGAAAAGGCTGAGAAAGATGAATATGGTTATTGTTCCAGGACTGAAGGAAGTTCCTGAACTCAGTGATTTGAACAGTAAGTCTCATGATTTATATGGTATGCATCATTAGTGAACCACCCCAGCTCTAAGTTGTGTTTTGTTTTGGAGACCTTGTTTCCACTTTTCAAGCATTAGTTTATTTTTATTAACTTACAGACAGTCTCACTATGTAGACCTGGCTGGTCTGAACTCTTATGTTGGCCTCAAACTAGATCTGCCTGTCTCTGCCTCCCAAGTCTTGGGATTAAGAATGTGTACCACCCACATCTGGCTGTTTTTTGAAGGCTCAGAATCGGCAGGACAAAATTCTTATGTGTGTTTGTGGATTGAGATGTTTATAGGAAATATATTTTATACTCAAGGGATGTAGTTTGCTGTTGGAACGCTTCCTTAGCCATGCATGGAATCTTCCACTTAACCCTCAACCCTGACATATAATGTAGTAATAGGACAATATTAAGGTATTTAGGACAGCCTGGTGGTCCACACCTACAATGTCAGCACTGGAGAGGCTGAAGTAGGAGGATCAGAGGGTCAAGTCTAGTCTGGACCACAGCAAGACTGACTCAAAAAAAAAAAAAGTAGTTTTTAATAACCTTACCCAGGGTTAAGGATATTAGCCTCCGCGGTAGAATGCTTACCTAGCTGTGTGAGGTTCTGAGTTTGATCCTAAGAACTGCCATTTTTTTCTTTATAATGTTAAGTAGCTTAGAATGTTTATTTAAAGAAAAAAAGAGCTAAATTTGGGGAGAAGAGCTCAGCAAATCTTCCATTTAAATTATAAGTAATAAAATGTAGGGAAGTTTTTACATTAAAAAAGAAAAGATGTGGGCAGTGGTGGTGCATGCCTTTAATCCCAGCACTTGGGAGGCAGAGGCAGGCGGATTTCTGAGTTGAAAGCCAGCCTGGTCTACAGAGTGAGTTCCAGGGCAGCCAGGGCTATACAGAGAAACCCTATCTCAAACCGTGCCCCCCTCCCAAAAAAGAAAAAAGAAAAACAATAAAGATATATCTGTCCTTGAATTGCTTCCTGTTCCCCAAAGACAGGAAGTGTGATTTCTAAGCTTTGACACCCAGAAGAAAGCATTGTCTAATGTCCTAGTCCCCTAATTCCCAGGAAATAGAAACTTCTGGGTCCAGCAGTGGGTTAGGTCATACATAGACAGAGGCCAGGTAGTATTCAGTCAGCTTTATTGTTTGCTTGGGTAGACTCCCGCTCTGTTCCTATTACCACCCATAGCTTCTGTGTGGGAGGAAAAACCTCACCTTCCAGATTATGACTGTGGTCTGGTAATACCCTCAGGGTAGTAGGATGGGCTTCAGTAGATGCTCACACCCACTGTTCAGCTATCTCAGGACTGACCATCTTGGGGACAAGAAGTCTCAAGGCAATTGTGGACACAATTAGTAAGGGTCCCTGGTTCACATATCAGCATCCTTTCTACTCTCCCTGCTTAGCAAATGGAGGCCCTCCTCCCCTGTTTTCCCAGAGGAGAATGGCTAGGATGAGCCTTTCCATCAGGTAGGTAATTGTAGTCAAATTTGTCAGACCCCTGAGTTCCTATCCTTGGCATCCTATAAACCAGTCCCTTACTAGAGTGGCCTGTCCCCTCTGGCAATAGAGAACACACTCAGAAGGCCCTCTTTCCTGGCTCCTTGAGGGTGCTAGTGCTAACTCAGGGCTGTTTACCTGTACCTTCGTCTCTCTATAGTAAAAACAAAACCTTGACATAACAACCTGGAAGCTGGGCGGTGGTGGCGCATGCCTTTAATCCCAGCACTTGGGAGGCAGAGGCAGGCGGATTTCTGAGTTCGAGGCCAGCCTGGTCTACAGAGTGAGTTCCAGGACAGCCAGGGCTCCACACAGAGAAACCCTGTCTTGAAAAACCAAAAAAAAAAAAACAAAAAAAAAACAAAAAAAAAACCCAATAACCTGGAAAATTCTTAATAGAGTTCACCAAAACCATTTATTTTTAGCCATGGTTAACCTTACAATCTTAATGAAGCAATCATAGGTCTTGAGACTTTGGAAACAGGAGTGCCACCCAGTCTCAGGCTTTCACAGGCCCGGAATACAGTCTGGTGTAGTGCTTGCATAGCACATGTGAGGTCCTGGGTTCAATACAAAAGACCCAATCTTCTCCTTAGAATATCTTCTACCTTGTTTATATGATAACCACAAGTCAGGTACACTACAGATAGAAACTGGTCCCTGACCCTGAGCTACAGTACCAAGGCTTTGGCTACCTCAGGTTTCTAATGCAGTCCAAAATTCATGAAGAGGCATTCCTCCCTCCACCCCACCCCCCAAAGTTAATAGGGTCAAATAATCACAGAACTCAGTCTCTAATAAATGAATACTGAGACCAGCCAGACTAGCAACTATTTTAGAATGCTTTCTATTATTGTATAAGAATTTACATAGCAATTTAAGTTTGAGAATTCCAAGGAAAAAAACAACCCAAAACTTCTAATTGGGGCTGAGTCTGTAGTCTAGGGTACAATTGTGCTTCCTCACAACAATGGATGGTAAAAGAGTTGGGTCACAGGAATAAATCATTCCATGTATTAAGAAGGACCAGTTCACTGGCTGCATCCCAAACCTACAGTCAGCACCCTGCCTCTGAGGTGGACTCAACACATCAGCCCTTGGATTCCAGGTATATCCAACAGCATACACCCCTGAAACCAGGCTAGAGAATGACATCCAAATAAGATAAGCCAGCACAGCAGGAGGGAGGCAGGCCTCTTGGACCATCCCTAGCAGCTTGGCTTCCAAAGAGTAAAACTCAAGCATGGAACAATGCCGCCTCAGGCTTGTATAAGCTTCCCAGACAGGTACTCAGAGGAAGGTGTACTATGCAGACAGATTCTCAAGGATCTTCCTGCAATCCTGATAAATTCTGACCTCATGGAGACTACAAGAGAAAGAATCTTTTTAAACGTCCTACACATACCCTCTCTCTCCTTATTAGAGGTGACAAGCCAAGCTAAAAGCTTAAGCAGGAATAAAGTCCTTCCAGAAGGAGTTCCTAGTTTCATTCTCTCTTGATAAGAGAGGCTTTGGGAATTGATGTGTATGTCTGGCCATACAAGTTCCCTGAGCTACTCTCTATGATGTGACCTGAGTGGGAGGCCACTTTCACAAGATGCCATCCTATGAGACTCAAACAGGGAAAAGAGGGACATCTATGTTTAACTGCTGGGGCTGTGTTCAAATCAAGGGAGGGTTGAGAACAGCTCAAGGGTAGGACTAACCTGGCACAAGTGAGACTGGGTTCTATCCATGGCACCAAGACAAAATGGAAACTCAGCAAACCAGTTCATATGAAAAAGGGAAACTTTCAACTTTCTAGACCTCAGTCCTTTCCTTCCAGTCTCTGCCCATACCTACATACTGATCTGATGGACTACTGGAAGCTGCATGGTCTTTCCAGACCTATCATAGAGCACAGTGATAGCCACACAGAAGCCACAGCACTATCAGTCCTCCCAAGTCCCTTGTCCTGGAGTATTATCAGGACAAGACACTTGTTCTTTCACCCTCAGACACTACCACCTCCACATACAGCAGCAGCTCCTGGTGCAATTCAGTTCCACAGAGCATCAACAGAAACCCTAGTGAGTTACTGGAAGAACTAAGAGTGCACTTAGACAGGACCATGAGGAAACTAAAAAGAGCTGGTCTGTGGGAGCAGTAACACCTAGTAACAGTTTCATGTCCACAGAAAGCTTGATTGTTGTGCACTTGGGGCAGGGCCTCTCAGTAGCTTAGTTTCTGGGAATCACTGTAAGGCATGAGAAACACCCAAACTGAACTAAGCAGCTTGCTAGTGTCTGCAAACATGTATTTCCTTGAAAAAAACAAAAAACAAAACAAAACAAAAAAAAAAAACCAGAAAATTTGAGGGAATTAAGACATAAGAATTGAAGGGACTTAGGAAAACAAAACTGTCCAAAAAGATTCAAGATGTAACTAACACAACTAAAGGCCCATCTCAGACTTTGACTAATAGTGTCTTTAAAGCTGAGGGGAAAAGAAGCCAGAAGTAGCCCCCATGAAGATCATGAAGGCAAAACAACCCTGATGAGTGACAATAGCTACATACTGATGACAGGACAGCAGTCCCTAAATGACAGTCACCATCAAGCCCTGCTTTTCTGATACACAACTCACATCCATCCAAAGTTACATTCATCCAATTAACTTAAAAATCTGTTTTCTCTTGAGTTGAGTTCAGGACAGGAGACAAGAGTTTTATGGGCCACTGGTATCCCAGTTCATCATGGAAATGATGGGGATGGGGAGCTGAGTGTTCTATCTGGTTTGTAGCTCATGTTTTTCCCTTTTACCATCCAGCTGCAAACTCCTTAAGCTCTCCAGGAACCCTGTTCCTAGTAGGTACACAGCAGGGAAAATTATTTCTTAAATACTGCTTTCCTTGGTCAGCTTATTTTGCCAAAATGCAGACAACATTCCTTAAAAGGGAAAAACAACTGCAGTTCCTTAACTCCAAAGAGCTCATCAAAAATAAAATAAATTGGAAACTGCTCTGAGCAAGTCAGCACAACAGAAGAGCCATGCTCAGGCTTGGAGAGTAGTACCTCGCACATTAGTTACTCAGAGTCACAATATCCAGTTAAACCACCTTCCCAACCCAACCCGCCCTGGCTGCACACCCTTGCCACCCCCCTTCAGCTCCGGCTTTTTGTGCATTGCTGGCCCCAGGGACGGGGATAAGACAAGTCCTTCTGGAAGCTTCCAACAGCTCAGTACTTCACTCCTGGAATAAACTCCTTGGCATCTGGATTCAGGTTACTTTTGCTCTGAAATAAGAACCGAGAAAAAACATGCCAGGCGTAGTGATACATGCCTTTAATCACAGTACTCAAGAGGCAAAGGCAGGTGGATCTGTGATCTCCCTCCCCATACTAATGATTGTCTTTCTGCTTTCATGTCATACTGCACTTTAAAACTTATTTCCAAGCTAGGGATGTAGCTCACTGATAAGAGTACACACCTAGCATATACAAGACTCAACTCTCCAGTGCTGCAGAGAGATGAGAGCACAAGCAGAGAGAGAGGACGGAAGAAAGGGACAGGGACCCCCCCCCAAAAAAAAATCATTTATTTTTGAAGTTCTGAGGACTGAGCCCAGTGTCTGAAAGAAGGAAGAGTATTAATACCCCAGGCTATAACTGAATTGTTCTCAGAGGCTCTTCCTTCACGTATCCCACTCCACTACAGGTACTTCCCTGTATGTATAAATAATATTCATTCCAAATAGCACTTCAAGCCACTGAACATGGTAAAACAACAACAACAACAACAATACTCAAAGCTGGCTGGGATACCAGGACCTCTATTTTCCTCATCTTTCTGTGCCCTTTGGTGCACTTGTGAACAGCCTAAGTCTTAGCTCACTGCAAGGCATAGATACAGACAGTGAAAGAGAAAAACAGTATCAAGCAGTGTACTGAAGCCCAATTCAGGCTTCTAACCTTTATCCCAGTATAGAGCATCAGGTAAATGAAGGCTGATGACTATAGTTTCACAGAGCTTGGGGCTCATTTAAGGGGTTGAAGGCAGGGTAACTCAGGCTCCGGAGACTTGATGTAGGGTATAGAGCTGCACAGAGTATCTGACTCTAAACACCATGTTCTTTTCAGGATGTTACATGTGGAACTACTGAAGGCTCTTACCAAAATGTCTTCAGATTCATGACTGTCACCAACTGATAGTCCATTTAACTGCTGCTGTAAGTGTCCCACAGCCTGAGGCAGGTCTCGTGCTGGGATGAACCAGTCCTGGTCCTCTTCATCCAGCATCTCCTGGAAGCAGCGGTCCAAGAAGTCTTGCTCCTGCAGCTCTTCCTCCACCTGCCAATAAAGGGGAAAGCTCAGAGATACTATCCCAGAGGATGATTCCTCCAGAGTCCTCAGCCCTTCCCTCCAGATGGGCAGGAGAGCTAATGATGCTTCTAATGAATATTGTGGTTTAAATGAGAAATATTCCCAGCTAGCTCATGTTTCTGAATACTTGGTCCCTAGTTGGTGATACTGTTTAGAGACATAACAGAACCTTTATGAGGTGAACCCTTGATGGGGAAAATATGTCACTGGAGGCAGGCTTTGAGATTTATAGTCCTACCCAATTTCTTGTTCTCTCTGCTTCCAATTTGTAGATAATGTGTGATCAGCCAGCTTCTTGCTCCTGTTGTTAACGCTTGTTTGTTGCCATGCCTTCCAAGACATGATGGACTGACTGTATCTCCCTAGAACTGTAAGCTAAAATAAACCTTTTTCTCACCCAAGTTGCTTTTAGTCATGGAATCACAGATCCATAAAGAAAGCATAATCTTAGTCATTCAAAAAGGCTTAAACTTCAGGTCTTCACAGATCTTTATGGGAAACTTTTTATTATTACATTTGATTTTGATTCTTGCTTTTATTCTCCATTTTTATGGTGGTATGAAAGAATCTTCTTATAGCTTGCATTCTTTCCTTGTCCTTGCTAAAAGCATTCTTTCTAGCTAGATGTTGTGGCACCTGTTATTCCAGCACTCAGGAAGCAGAGACAGGTGGGTCTCTGTAAGTTTAAGGCCAGCCTAGTCTATGTTCTTCTAGACCAGCCAGGGCCACATAGTAAGACCCTGATTCAAAAACCAAAACAAAATTCTTAAATTCTCCACTTTACAGGGAACATGCAAAAGACAAAGTATGTAATTGGCCTGCAACTAGTATTCTGAAAACTTAATAAAAACATTAGCTCCTGATTCACTTTTCTAATAATAAGAACCCCAAGGCAGAAAAATACTTTCAGAATCTTAGATACAAAGGACACTTTCTGGTGCACCACCAGAAATGTATGTCACAATATAGTAGTCTCTCAAAACAATAACACTGAATATTTAACTACTCTGAACTTCTTAAACATTGTCATAAAATGAAGCAAAGAGATCTAGGATTTTCCAGTCCTTTGCTGACAGTGTTTACTCAGTAGATTTCGGTGGCTTCATGGGCCACTCCACACTTGCCAAATCTCTTTTATACTTCCTGCTGGATAACAGGTCCACAACTCATTGCCACCACAAGATAGATCAAAGAACAATAATAATCACTCAATTGTAAGTCATAGGTTCAGAAAAACTAATAGGAAGTTTTTAATTCTTTCCATTGTTTTGTATTTAGACAATTTTATGTATCACAGGCTAGCCTTGAACTCTCCTGTAGCTAAGGCTGGCCTTAAACTTCTGACCCTCAAAAGTGCTGGGATCACAGGCATGTTCTATTACCCAGCTTAAGAAGAGTAAATTAAATTAATAACTGCCAAAATATTTTTAAATCTCATAAATTCTAGTTATGAAGCTCTTAAATAATTACAATAAAGTATTTCTAAGTCATAGCTTTGTGTTTGAAATGTCTGGTAGTTATCTTCTCTATCCGGTCTCTATTTTTCTCTCTCTGTGACACTCACAGAGTGTGACAACTCACTATGTATACAGCTCAGGCTGGCTACAAACTCACATCAACCCTCCTGTCTCAGGACCACAGGTATAAGCTGCCACATTTCTGCTCTCCACTCTCTTACATATTCCCTTGCGCAGATATTTTACCACAGCTGTTTCATTTAAGACCTTGCCATGTAAATCTATTTATCTTATTATAGCAGTATTCCATTTTCTTTGCTTAAGAGTTGGGAAATTAGCACTAAGAACATAAAAAAAAAAATAAAAAGGAAAAACAAAAGACCCTGAGTCTCAACTCTGAGGCATGAATGAATATCATGCCTCCTCTGAGTTTAGTTGTTAGACATGCATGGGGAAATAATAGGAGCTTAAGAAAAAAAAATTACTCCAGTTAGAGAACATGAATGTAAAAGACTCCTACCACACAACTGAGAAGTTTCTTCTTCCTACATTCTATGCCATGCCTCGCCAGTGACAACACCTCCAAGTTGCAGAGAATTGGTGTTTGCCTCCTGCTTAACAGAACTGGGTCCCTTTTCTCTTTAATATTGAAATTATTGGAGTATGAATATAAATCATTCACAAATATAGCTAATGTGTTTCTTAGAAGAATTCTTTTCTTTCCTGAGTTACCCTTCCTCTAAAATATTTTATTATTTTGAATTGGGAGGGGGGAGTAAATGCACATTAGTGTAGGTAAATAAGAAGGTCAGAGAAAAGCATTAGATACACTGGAGCTGGAGTTACAGGTGGCTGCGGGCTGCCATGTAGGTACTGGAACCCAAACTCCTGTTCCTGCAAGAAGAGCAAGCACGCTAAACTGTGGAGTTCGCTCTTCAGCTCCTTGAGTTATACTTCCTGAGATCACATGTGTTCTCTGTCTGAGTCAGGGTCTCATGCATCTGTGGATGGGCTCAAATTCAATACGAAGCTGACCTCCAACTGTTCTGTAGTACATACCATCATCTACTACTGCTTGCTGAGGTCTCAAACAAATGGTATTTCCTTAGTTCGCCGTTTTCTCCTCAAGATGACATTCCAATCTGGTTCTAAAAGCCTCATACTTGCTCAATTTTTTTTTTCTTTTTTCAGATATAAATCTTTGAAATCCCGATCCTTTTGCTCCTACCTTGCAAGTGTTGGGATTACAGCGATGCACCACCATGACCATCTTTCAGAGAACATTTCTGCCCCTCCACCCCCAAAGATGAATAATGGGACTGGGGAACCAGCTCAGCAGGTGAAGTGCTTATGGCACAAACATGAGAGCCTGAGTCTGGATTCCCAGTGTTCACGTTTTACGTTTTAAGCTAGGTGTAGTAGTGTGTACCTGTCATCTCAGTGTCCAGAGGCAGAGACAGAAGAGGTCTAGGACTCACTGCCTAGCCAGTCTAGCCAATCACCAACTTCAGACTCACTGAGAGACCCTATTTCAAAAAGTAAAGTGGAGACTGACTGAGGAAGACACAATATTGACTTATGGCCTCCACACGCATAAGTGCATGTGAATGTGTACCTTCTGCTCCAACCAATGGCAACACTAGGATTAGGGACTATAGCTTTAAAAGTTTTTATTATGTTTATTTACTTATTTCTTGTAGGAGGGAGGTGCATATGTGTCATTGCACATGTGTAAGTCAGATGACAACTTGTGGAAGTTTGTTCTCTTTTCACTGTATGAGTCCTGGGCATTAAACTCAGGTTTGTAAGGCATGGTAGCAATTGCCTTTGTCAGCTGAGTCATCTCATAGGCCTCATGAAAATTGAGTTGAATCTTAGGATAAAGAAACTGTGGCCTGCCTGGAAACCTCCATAAAGTATCTTCTCATTTTATCAATTTTAATATGACTTTCCAGAATGAGACACATAAGAGCAGCAAAAGCATGTCAGTAAAGTGTTGTAGTAGACACTGAGCAGGCAAGAGGGCAGGGAAGGACTGCACACAAGCGGCAGAGACGGGGAAGGACTGCCCTGCTTCCTGTGAGTAAGAATCCTCCACTCCTGTGGAGTGCCTTCCACAGTCAGCTGCATTCCTTCGACTTACACTGTGTGCGTCCTTTCTAGTGGATAGCAGATGCTCCGGCTAGAGAAGCTGTTTTCTTCCTGAGTAGGTTTTTAAAAATCACATATTTTATCATGAATTGTGCATTACTAATTATTTTACTCAAACTTGATTTCATAAAGAAGCATTTTTCCACCGGGCGGTGGTGGCACACGCCTTTAATCCCAGCACTTGGGAGGCAGAGGCAGGTGGATTTCTGAGTTCGAGGCCAGCCTGGTCTACAGAGTGAGTTCCAGGACAGCCAGGGCTACATAGAGAAACCCTGTCTCAAAAAAACCAACCCCCCCCCCCAAAAAAAAAAGAAGCATTTTTCCAGGGAAAACGTTTTTAACCATATAATTTACCAAGTATTTACCATGAGCTAAATTTACACTTTTACACTGACTACATCAATGTAATCAATGGTTGGGTGGAAGTGTAGGAAAGACAGAGACCCACAAATGGCAGAAGGGAAGAGGGAGGGAAAGACTACAGTTACTTGAGGGTTTAGGAAGATTTAGAAGGTCAAGCCCTTTGCTCAGAACCCAGAGCTACAGACTCTAACTTGAGTTATAAGCCTTTGGCTGCCAAGGCCCGGAACCCCTGACTCCCTGAGTGTGTCTGGACTTTATTAACACTAAAAGTGCCATCCTGTACCTATAAGTACAGCAAAAGATTCCAGTAGGTCACTGGGATAGTGACTGTCTTCTACCTTTGCCTACCTGTCTGTTGAAATCCTCTTCATTTTCCATCCACATGTATTCTGCAAATGGGTTTTCCTTTTCCTCGTGTCCATTTAACCCTTGGTCTTCTTTGCATTTCACACTGGGTGATGTACTTGCCACACTGGATCCATTCATTATGGAGATTCTAGATAGATTTAGAAAAAAATAAAAAAATAAAGAACCGAGGAAAATATGACTCTAAAACACCCAGATCCTTGTAGAATCTTCTCAAGTTGTAGGCTGATGACTTTAATGAAAATGTTGTGTGTTGATCTGGTGCTGCTATGTAGTCAAATGCTAAATACTAGTCCGAAAGATTTGGTTGGCCCCAATGAGCAGATAATTCCTCATGGCTACCAAGTGATGCTATGTAAACCTTCCTCCCCAATTTACAACTATTAGTTAAAATAAAGTAGCTACAGCCAATTACTGTGAAGAACAAAAAAGGCAGAGATTCAGTTTTCAGGCTGAGGGTTGAAGGTAAGGATCATGAGGAAGCAAGAGAAAGAAGGAGAGAGGAGAGTGAAGGAGGAAGAAGACAGAACAGGAAGTCTTCATTAGAGTGATGGACCAGGAGCACATGCCCAAGTGAAATGGCTCCCCAGGATGGACTGCTGGAGCAGAAGTAACTCCAGTGAGACTCAGACAGGAAGTACTTTGGGAGCACTACTGGAGAATAAGTCTAGCGCTAGAAAAAATAGATTAGGGATAATTCCTCCAGTAATTATGCCAAAGCTAAATAAATAAATTATAGTCTATAGTCATTCATTTGGAAGCTAATGGAGATAGAATTAATTCAATTACTTTACATGACCACAACTGTTAGTTTGTAACTGTTATGGCATCATCACATCTATATAGTTACCAACTATACAAATGTATAGTTCTTTCAAGAATTGAGGAGTAGGACATGGTGGCCTCACGCCTGTTATCTTAGCACTCAGAGGTCAAACAGGAAGACTGCCTCAAGTTTCAGGTTAGCCAGGGCTATTGTGAAACCTGTCTCAAACAAGAAAATAAAAACAAAAGAGAACAAGAACGACTGTCTAAGCTTACTCTTCCTAAAAGTCCTGGAACCCACCACAGATCAGCTTCCTTACCATTTAGACAGGAAGAGGAAGTACATTCTTTCTAAAAATAGGTTTTTATTTATGCATGTGGATCTGTATGAGTGTATGCCATGTGTGAGGGTCCTCGGAGGCCAGACGAGGGCAACAAATCACTTGGAGCTGGGTTATATGTAATCGTGAATTGTGCCTTAACAGCTGTGCTGGAAACTGAACCCAACTAGGGTCCTCTGCAAGAGCAGCAAGTGCTCCTAACAGCTGCCCTTTATTCTGGGTGTAAAGTTCTGTTTCTCTTTACAATGTATTTATAAAAAAAATAACAGAATTTATGAGTGAAGTTGTAGAGATTACAAAAAAAATCACTGTATTGCTAAGCAAAAACAAAAAAGTTCACCAGTTGCTCAGCCACCTACAGTTAAGAACAATGAGCAACGCGTACACAAAGCCTTCCAAGCCCTAAACTCCTGACCTGTGCAGCTACATATATACATTCCCCCATTCCCTTCCCCCTAGTAGGATGGCACAATGTTCTTTATCAACATGAAAACCTGTCTTGGGAACTGAGTCCAGTGTCTCTATGTGGCATAGTCTGGAAGAGTCTCTGTCCATCTTTCCGATCATCTTACTGATTTCCTTAGACTATCTGGCAGAAACACAGCCACTGCATTATTGGTTATATTCATTTGAAGTTCTTAATTTGTTGCCACCCTGGTGGCATGGCTCAGAGGGTAAAGGCACTTACTGCTAAGCCTGATAACTGAGTTCTATTCATGGATCCCACATGGTGGAAGGGAGACGAATAATTTTATGAAGCTTACCCCCTGAGTCATCTTACCAGCTCTTATCTGTCTGTCCTTATTTAAAGGCAAACATGGGTGAATTTATAGTGCAGTGGTTTGTCTCCAGCATGACAAAATTAACAAGTGAACTAAGGTTCATATGTCTATAACTGTTTTCTTCGGCTTCTACATTAGCTACTTTATATACTACTAGGACCAAATACTTGGAAAAGGCAGCTTAAGGAAGGGTTTGTTTTGGCTCACAGTTTCAAAGCAGTCCACCATTGGGAAGGCATGGTGACAAGTATTTGAGAAGCTATTACATTGCACTACAGTCAGGAAGCAGACAGTAATGAATGCCAGCTGCTCAGCTTTCCTCCCTTCTTATTCTTTCTTCCTTCCTCCTCTTCCTCTTTCTCCTCCTCCTCCTTCTACTACCACTTCTTATTCAGTCCTGAATCCTAACCCATGGGATAATGCTATGCACTTCTAATCTAGAAACTCCCTCACTGACATGCTCAGTGACGATCTAGGATCTAGGTTGATCTGCTAGATGATTCAAGCTAGATCTCACCATGTTGCAATCAATATAAACCATCACAGCAATTTTCAGTTTGGTATTTTTATATCATTTATGTCTTCTTTTTTCTATACTTATTCCTCCTCTCTTCCTCCCCTGAGCTGCCGTGCCTCAGGAGCATTCCCATTAGTCCCCATTAGTACTCACTGTTCCCATTCATATGCACACATTTCCTTCCTCCAATCAGAGTTTTTCTCTACTTTTGAGAAACAAGATTGTGAGGGCTAGTGGGGGAGGGGGGATAGTGGGGGTCGGGGGTGGGGGTGGGGGTGGCTCACACCTTTAATCCCAGCACTTGGGAAGCAGAGGCAGGCGGATTTCTGAGTTCGAGGCCAGTCTGGTCTACAGAGTGAGTTCCGGGACAGCCAGGGCTATTCAGAGAAACCCTGTCTCAAAAAAAGAAAAAAAGAAAAAAAAAGACTGTGAGGGCTGGAGAGATGGCTCAGCAGTTAAGAGCATTTGCTGCTCTTTCAGAAGACCTGGGTTCACTTCCCAGCACCCACACAATGGGTTATAACCATCTGTTAACTCTCAAGTTCTAAGGGATCTGAAACCCTCCTCTGGCCACTGTGGGCACTAGCCACAGCTGTGGTGCAGACATGGATGCAGGTGAAACACTCATACACATAAAAAATAAATATTTTTAAAAAGAAACAAAGCCAAAGTCTACACATGCTGCCATTCATATATCAACTGGCTTAGTTGGGCTTAGTCCTGCTCTCTCATCTCCACTCTACCCCGCTGGGACTCAAGTTTCCTTTAACAAATTATTTTTCTCTTGTTGCCATCTAGGCAACACATCTGAAAGTTATCTACGCTTTGAGAACACTTATGGTAGCAAAGGCTTTTACTCTTAGAACTTGGGAGGTAGAGGTAGGAGGATCAGGTTCAAGGTCACCTTCAGATACTCAGCAAGCTAGAGTTCATCCAGGGAAAAATCTGTCACAAACAAACTAATGTGCTGGGTACTTATCACAGTGCATACCAAGTCTTGGGTACAACCTCTAATACTGCAAGAAGAGTAGAAAAACAGTTCACGCGTTCTAAGAGAATTTCACATTAGAGCAGCTATGGTGCCTCATGTCTGTAATACAAGCACTCCAGTGGCTGAGGCAGGAGGCTTATCGTGAGCTCCAGGTCAGACTGTGCTATAATGAGACCCTGCCCATCCCCTGTGATTTCATTTTAAACAGATGTGTTAGTGGGGTATCAAGTAAGCTATATCTGTTTAGCATACTGTAGACAGAGACAAAAGAAATCAGGTCTATTCCCAATTGCACAGGTACCTCCATTCTCCCAGGAAGAGGAATCCAGCTCAGTACTGCTGACCCTTCCATATACAGTGTGTGAGGAAAGAAGCCTGCTTTGAATGCCAATGCACCTGTAAAATAAGGTGACATTCCTATACAGAGACCCCACAGGGACTAGGCCTTGTTGTGCAGCAGGTTGTGCTGGGCAGGTCATTCTCAAGGCCTTAGCTGGTAGCTGTTTACAATAGGCAGTTACTTCTGTCCACCAATTCAGAAACCATCCAAAGAAACAGAGTTCAGTTTTCTGAAACACTACCTTTACCCAAAAGAAAGAAAGAAATCCTGTCCATATAATTGTAAGGATTAAAAAAAGAAAGGACCAAAACAATAACTCTCTGGTGTAGAGCAAGACAGACACAGTAAATTGCAGGACACACTTGTTCATGAGAGTGGGAATGAAAACCAAGCATGACATGGGTGTGTTGGCTTTTGATTTTAAGACAGGCCCATCTTAGGTCTCATCCATGGTTTCTGGCTCGAAGAAGCACAGCCTTCTGGTTCACTTTTGGCTTCATATCAATAAGGGTGGAAGGCAGTCCTTTATCCTTCTCTTCATTCTCTAGTGCTGGGGGTAGGACCCAGGGCCTTGCACATGTAAGCAAGCACTTTGCCACTGAACTGCATCCCAGCCCTGGGCAGTCTCTTGTACTGCTGAGATGCTTTAGACTTCAGAAATCTTCCTCTGCTCCTTTCTCCTCCCTAGACAAGTAATTGAAAACAAAGATACATTCTGAGCTTCCCCTATCTTTCTGCCTCAGGCTGGCCAGAAACAAATTCTCGAATCTTGTGGATTGATCATAAAACCCTATTTCAATAAAGACCCTGCCCTGTAGCCGGGAGGACAGATTGTTGTGCAGAGTCCAAGAAGAATCTGGATAGACAGGCCCTGCTGGGATTTCCTATGCAGTCTTTATAGCATTAGACCACACCCTTTCTGTCTGGTCACACTATTACAGAGTCAGTCATCCTGTTTCAATCATGCTTTTATAATGAAGCCCTCCTTCATAAAGAACTGAAAGGAGTGGGTTTGGAGTACTTCTACACAGCTGAACACAAAGAAGCTTGTAGAAAAGTGAACTCATTCGTGAGCTGGGAGGGGGTCACCCCAGCTCCACAGGAATGGGGATTCCTGGGGACAGGATATTTCCAAACCTCATCTGACCAATCTCTGTCTGGCAATCTGTTCCTTTCTTGTCTTCTTTACTTTGTAATAATAAAGGTGTCTCATTATATATCTTTGGTTGGCCTGAAACTGGCTGTGTGGACCAGGCTGACCTTTACCTCACTATGATCCTTGGCCTCTGCCTCCCAGATGCTAGGATTGCAGGCATGTAGCACCAAACCCAATAGGATTTGTTTCCTACAAAATATCCTTTAAACTAAACTTGTAAACATCAGTATTTCCCTGA